GCCCAGAAAAAAAGCAGGGGAAGCAATCTTATTCTCAGATAAAGTAAATTTCAAACCAAAATTCATTAAGAGAGACAAAGAAGGACACTACATCCTTGTAAAGGGAACAATTCAAGAGGAAGAGTTGGTGATAAACATATATGCACCAAATATAAATGCCCCCAACTATATAAAACAAATATTAAGTAACATGAAAAACCAAATAACCACTAATACAATTTTAGTGGGGGATTTAAATACCCCACTATGACAAATTGACAGATCATCTAGGCAGAAAATCAACAATGAAATAATAGAACTGAACCAAGCTTTGCAACACATGGACTTAATAGATGTTTACAGAGTATTCCACCCCACAAAATCAGAATATACATTCTTTTCGGCTGCACATGGATCATTTTCCATGATAGAAAACATATTGGCTCACAGAACCGGTCTGAATAAATGCAAAAATCCTGAAGTCATCCCCTGTATATTATCAAATCATTGTACAATCAAGCTGGAGATAGGAACTTAACAAGCACATGGAAACTGAACAACACTCTTCTAAACAATCAATGGATTACAGAGGAAATTAAAGAAGAAATTAGACAGTTTTTACAAATAAATGAAAATATCAGTACAACATACAGGAATCTGTGGGACACAATGAAAGCAGTTCTATGGGGAAAATTCATAAAATTGAATGTCCACACTAGGAAAACAGAACAGGCTCAAATAAACAACTTAAGGATGAAACTTAGACTCCTAGAATAACAAGAGCACGAAAAACCCAAAGTTTGAACGAAAGAGGAAGTTATAAAGATCTGAGCAGAAATCAATGCAATTGAAACTAAGAAAAAGATACAAATAATAAATGAAACAAAGAGCTGGGTTTTTGAAAGAATAAATAAAATTGACAAACCCTTAGCTAATCTAATCAAAAAAAGGAAAGAAAAGGCTCAGATCCATGCAATCAGGAATGAAAAAGGCAAAGTCACAAAAGATCCAAAAGAAATCCAGGATATCATTAATACCTACTTTGAGAACCTGTAGTCCAATAAAATGGAAAACACAGAAGAAATGGACAGATTTTTAGATACTTACGAATTAACAAAGTGGAACAAAGAAGATAAAAACATTTTAAACACCCCAATTACAGTCAGTGAAATTGAAAATGTAATTGAAAATTTACCAACAAAGAAAAGCCCAGTCCCTGATGGATTCACTGCTGAATTTTACAAGACATTTAGAGAAGAATTACTACCATTACTCTTCAAACTTTTCAATGAAATTGAAAGGCAAGCTATACTTCCAAATACATTCCTGGATGTAAGTATCACTTTGATTCCCAAACCAGGTAAAGATGCAACTAAAAAGGAGAACTACAGAACAATCTCCTTAATGAATATAGATTCAAAAATCCTTAATAAGATACTAGCAAATAGCATACAGAGGATTATCAAGAAGATCATTCATCCTGACCAAGTCGGATTTATTCCAGATGCAAGGATGGTTCAACATAGGAAAGTCAATAAATGTAATACAGTATATTAACAAAGTCAAGGACAAAAACCATATGATACTCTCAATAGATGCAGAAAAAGCATTTGATAAAATTCAACACCCATTCATGATAAAACCCTGCAAAAAATTGGAATACATGGTCTGTACCTCAATTTAATAAAGGCTATCTATGAAAAACCAACAGCCAACATCAAATTAAATGACCAATAACTGAAAACCTTCATGTTAAAATCAGGAACAAGACAAGGATGCCCACTATCACCACTCCTCTTCAATATAGTTGTGGAAACATTAGCCACAGCAATTAGACAAGAGAAAGAAATTAAAGCAATAAAGATAGGAAAGGAAGAAGTTAAACTGTCATTATTTGCTGATGATATGATACTCTACACTGAAGACCCAAAAAACTCCACCAAAACACTTCTAGACTTAATTGACAGATTCAGTAGAGAATCTGGATACAAGGTGAACACGCAAAAATCAATAGCCTTCTTATACACAAATAACAGACTCACTGAGAGAGAAATAAGGGAAAAAATTCCTTTTACAATAGCATCCAAAAAAATGAAGTATCTAGGAATAAATCTAACAAAAGTAGCAAAAGGTCTCTGCACTGAAAACTACAGCACGCTGAAAAAAGAAATTGAAGAGGATATTAAAAAATGGAAAGATATCCCTTGCTCCTGGATAGGAAGAATCAACATAGTAAAAATGGCCATACTACCAAAACTTCTATATACATTCAATGCAATGCCAATTGAAATTCCAACACTATATTTCACAGAGCTAGAAAAAAGAATCCAAAAATTCATTTGGAACCATAAGAGACCTAGAATAGCAAAAGCCATTTTAGGCAACAGACACATGGCACCAGGTATAACAATTCCCAACTTGAAACTATACTACAAAGCCAATGTGATAAAAACAGCATGGTACTGGCAAAGAAACAGGCCTGAGGATCAGTGGAACAGACTGGAAGACACAAAAACAAATGCAGATGTACTCAGCTACCTCATCTTTGACAAAGGAGCTGACCATTCTCAGTGGAGAAAAAATAGCCTCTTTAATAAATGGTGTTGGAAAAACTGGATTTCACCCTGCCACAGATTAAAATTAGACCCTTATCTTTCAACATGCACTAAATTAAAATCCAAATGAATTAAAGATCTAAATATTAAAACAGAAACATTAAACTTGCTGGAATGTAAGTTAGGCAGTACTCTAGAAGACATTGGCATAGGAAAAGACTTTATGACTAAATCCTCGGTAGCACGGGAACTAGCACATAGAATCAACAACTGGGATCTCATCTTATTAAAAAGCTTCTGTACTTCAAAAGAAACCATCAGCAGAACTAATAGACAATCTACAATGTGGGAAAAAATTTTTGCCAGCTGTTCCTCAGACAAAGGACTATTATCAAGAATATATAAAGAACTCAAAACAGCCCCCACCAAATATAAAGACCCAATTCAAAAATGGGCATCTGAAATGAACAGACATTTCTCCGACAAAGTAGTAAAAGCTGCAAGTAAATATATGAAAAAATGTTCCACATCACTGATCATTCGAGAGATGCAGATGAAAGCAACACTGAGATTCCACCTCATCCCACAAAGAATGGCTGCTATCAAGAAATCACACAATAACAAATGTTGGCGGGGTTGTGGGGAGAAAGGAACCCTTCTCCATTGTTGGTGGGAGTGCAGACTGGTGCAACCACTATGGAAATCAATATGGAGATACCTCAAAGAGCTTGGACTGGAGGTTCCATTTGACCCAGCCATCTGGATACCCAGCTGGGTATCTTTCCAAAAGAACTAAAAGAATCATATCACAGAGAAGGATGTGCACTCATGTTTATAGCGGCACAGTTTGAAATAGCTAAAATTTGGAAACAGCCCATTTGCCCATCCGTTGGAAACTGGATAAAGAAGATGTGGTTTTTCTATAAAATGGAATATTACTGAGCCATAAAGAATGAGAAAATAGATTCATTCATAGGAAAATGGATACATATTGAAGATATACTCCTAAGTGAAATAAATAAGGCACACATGTGTAAATACCGAATAGTTTCTCTGGTGTGAATAATCTGCAATAATACATAAGACCTTAATAAGATTACTGACATTGAGAAATGGGAAGAAAGGAGCTAAAGGTGTACGGAAGGTGGGATCAGTAGGGGAAGGGTAATAAGGGAAAAGAAAAAAATGTGAGATAATGAAAAGTTTGAAAATAAGTTGTTTGCAGATGGGGAGGGGAGGAGGGGGGTGAAGGGAGGGCTGCGACAAGGGGAAAGAATGAGAACTAAGACTTGTCATGTAGAGGTACAAGATCCCAACAATGAATGTAACTGTACTGTATTCCTAAAATGTACCAATAAACTCAATTAAAGCTGGAAAAAAAATAGAAAAAAAGAAATGGCCGAAACATGTAACAACTGCTTTGGGAAGTTTCTAACTGCATGCGGAGGAGGTCTTAGAGAGACATTATGGGTACAACTTCCCAATTCTTTGAGAGTTCACATACTGCAACAGTGTACCCTGGGTCCTGGCTACAGAACAATAAGATTTCATGTTTGTCTTGATGAGTTTCAAAATTGGAATTGTCAAATCACTTTTTGCTAATTTTCCTATTCTCAGATTTTGGAATAGGAACATTTACCCTATGTCATTTTATCTTGGAAGTACATAACATTCTTTTGTATGTTTTTATTTCTTTCGTTTTTTGAGACAAAATTCCACTATATAGTCCAAGCTAGCGTTGGACTCACTGTGTAGTCTTGGCTGAACTTGAACTTGTGGCAATCCCCCTGCTTCAGTCTCCTGAGTGCTGGGATTACAGGCATGTGCCACTATGCCTGACTTTTTTTGATTTCTTAAAGTATATTACAGCAGTTGTGTTTCAATCAGGGACAGGCACAGTTCATGATTTATTTTATATATTTTATCCTGTATAAATTATCTGCTTAAATCTTAGAGGAAACTTCCATCCTTGAATTTGAATAGTGCTACAGTAATAAAATCTTTGGAGACTCTTGGAGATTGAACAGATACATGAACAATAAAGAGATGAAAATAAGACCTTGGGGTCCAGGTTTTGTTTTGCATAGTTGGGATATCAAGTGTCCCCCCAAAGCTAACATGATAAAGACTTAAATTTCAGCTTGGAAATTGGAAATTTCTATTGGAAATACTATTGGAAATTGGTACATACTTTAAAAAGTTTGGTGTTGTAGGAGATCTTCCAGTAACTACATGAGTACCACTAGAGGAAATTAGGATTTTAACCCCTTCCACCTCCCTATTTCACATTCTGGACATTAACTGAATGATTTTGTTAAGTGATGTGCAGTTATTATGATATGCTACCCTACCCACACCAGAAATATAAAAACTATGAGTGCATCTTGATAAAGTATATGCAAAAACGTAGCCCCTGTTACTCATGGAAGACTTCTTTTTATTTATTACAGATTCACAGAAGTAGGTATGCTCATTTGAGAGTGGTAGCTAGTGCTAGCTGTGGTAAGGCCATTCTGTGAAACCAAGGGCTCAGTTGTTCTTCAAAACAGCTTATGAATCCACACTGCTTCAGGCTGAGAAATGAAGTAGAAGAAATAAAAATTAAAACTTCAATAGTTATAGAGAACTCTTACTGTGTTAAGGACCCCATCAAAACATAAAACGCCATAGATTCAACAGATAGAAAGGAATGTGACAATTACATGTATTATTTCTTCTAAATACAAAGACTCCTGGACTTTACATGAGTTTTAAACAAGTAAAAGTCTCTGAAGATGGATGCAGCCCAAAAATAAACATGTTCAGTGAATTCCCTGTGTGATTCTAATGGCCAGTGAAGAATGAGAATTACTAAGCGCTAGTTCAGTCACCATTGTATGTATAGAAATCTAAGCCCACCATAATGTGTCACATTATTAGTATAAGCTCTCAACATATTTTCTTAACAATTTTAATGTACTAGACCTTTTAACACTGAAAATATGATATAAAACTATATTTTAAAAAACTGATAATAACAACAAACTCTAGCAAAATAATATCAATATTTTCACATGTGTAGTTTTTGTCCAATTGTTTTCATCCTTGCAACATCATAGTATTTTCCTTTGGTTATTTCTCTTAACATTGCAACATTATCTTTTCTCTTTAATTTTCCATGTTATTCTCTAGGCTTCATCATTATCATTTCAATGAATATCTATTATTTTGTTTCATATATTACTAAGCATTTCCTTAATATATATAGTTTCATAAATAACACATATAACATATTTGATATATTTATATAAATAATATATCATTTATATATCATAATATATTTTGTGACATTATTAGATGTTAAATGATCTGTGCTACATACTTTGTTTGCTAACAATCTATAGTCAATGTTTTTCCATGATTTGTTTCTTATATGTATTTTCTGTATAAATTATCTGTTTATATTTTTTTTAAATTGACAAGGGGAAAAATGAGAACCAAGACTTGTCATGTAGGTTGACAAGATCCCAACAATGATGACAAGATCCCATGAGGTACAAGATCCCAACAATGAATGTAACTGTACTGTATCCCTAAAATGTACCAATAAACTCATAAAGCTGAACAATATTATCTGTTTATATTTTTTTTAAATTGACAAGGGGAAAAATGAGAACCAAGACTTGTCATGTAGGTTGACAAGATCCCAACAATGATGACAAGATCCCATGAGGTACAAGATCCCAACAATGAATGTAACTGTACTGTATCCCTAAAATGTACCAATAAACTCAATTAAAGCTGAAAAAAAAAGATCTTGATTTATTCTCTGAAATGTGTCTTTTCACTACCACTGTTAATTTATATGACATTATTCTTTCGTATGTCACTATGGCTCAAGTAAATGGAACAAACTGTTGGCTATATCTGGTAGAAATATATGTAGAAAATTTTCACCTATATATTGTGATTTGGAGGTGCACTGGAAATGCCACATGTTCTGAAGTATTTCACATTATCTCAATGCAAAAGTTTGCAATTCTTTCATTGAAATTTTGACTTAGAAGTTTTTAAGACCTCAGTTAAACTGTAGTTTTTTCTGGAAGAGTAATCAAAATTAAACTCAATGCCATGCCAAGTTACTACCCTGAATGACTGAGAAATAACTATTAGTTGGAAAGGTAGGTGGTAGGATATTTTTAACTTAAGGAAGAATTTTGAGAATGTCCAGAAAATGGAATATTGTCTAAGAAAGACACATTCTGAAAGTGGAGTTTAATATTTATAGTCAGAAGTGAACAAAAATGCATAAAATCTCAAGGTGGGTGAGCAAGAAGGTGGCAACTGGTCACATGATTGCGTTGGTCCCAGAAAATTGACCACACAGCAAGATAGTCATAAAACTGGCAAAAAAGTCTTTCAAAAGTATATGTTTTTTTAAAAATGCACCAGAGAAGTCACTATGGTTGAACTTAGAACTTTGTTTATCTTCTTCCTGCCTATTTTGCAAATTATTATTTCTTAAACTTGTGAGCAGTGTCAGAATATTGCATTGCTGATTTCACGTCCCTAAGCCTTTCAACATACATACTGCAATAGTTTCTCCTGAATTAACATGTTATGTCATCTAGTGTTCCACCTCATGATAAAATTTTGCAGTCTAACTCAATTTGGTGTTATTGGATAGAAAATTCCTTACTCTATATGACTCACAATCTTGCTCATACTTGATGATCTAACTCAAATATCACTTTTTTCACACTTATTGAATAAATGATCTAATTTATAAAAAGGGTCAAATTTAAAATGCATAATGTCCAACTTCACTTTTGTTCATATAACTGCTCAGTGATTCATTCGTTTCTTGCTAATTCACTAACAAATACCGTATTCATTTAATAAACAAGTGTTGGTTACTGTCTGGGGTATTTTAGATATTACTACATTAAACAAGATGTTTTGTCCTCAACTTACTTTCTAGCAGAGGGCCTACACAAACAAAAATCGACATAGTAAACAATCTCAAATTTAAATAACCTAGGCAGGGAGAAAATTCTATGAAAAACATAGATGAAGTAACAATAAGACTGTAAATGTGAGAATTGTTGCAATTTTAAATAGTTTGGTTAGAGTTTTCTCATTAAGAAATTGACATTTGAGTAAGTATGTAAAAATGTGTGACAGTTAGCCATGCAAATATCTGGGGAAAATATTTTAGGTAAAGGAAATGACCAGTGCAAGGAACTTAAGTAAGATACTGAGACAGTCTAGAATCAACAAGGAGACAAATGTAGATGAAACATATGGATAACAGGAAAAGAAGATAAGATATTAGAGATAAGTGAATCACATTAGGACTGTTGATGGTTGTAAACATTTTGTCATTCATTCTGAGTGACATTGTGAGCATTATAAAGTTTTTCCAAGTTAATTGCTTGTCTTCGGTTTCATTCTTTTGATTTTAAGTACTGTACGATGTATTCAGACTTATTGATTAAACTCATACATACAGTGAAATACACCAATTTAAAGTGATTGTGTAAGTTGGTGAGTTTTTATAGATACACACACTTTGCAAACCTCTGCTACATTCAAGATTCTGAACATTTTAAATACTCTCAATGGTTAGATGTAACCATTCATTCCAACTTTTTTTAATACAGGTGTTAGATAATCTGATTTCTACAAAAACATTCTAGTTTCAGTGTTGGGAATATAGTAATGGAAATGTTAAGCACAGCAAAATATCTTAGATTGCTACTGCAGTAATCTAGAGCATGAGAAAGAGTGCATGAGAACAGTATGTTAGAAGTATAGTTTTGGAGTGGAGGTCAGGTTCTAGACATTTTGAAAGTAAGAGCAGAATTCAACAAGATGGCAAAAGAAAAGAAGAGTGTAATGTTCTGTAAACTTTTCTTTGTCTGATCTAACCAAAAACTCTTACAAAACTGATGGGAGTCAATGAAGAAATAGGCAAGAGTGCAAAGGACATAAAAACTGTTTACAGACACAATGGCAGAAAGTTCCCCAAGCAGGGGAAAAGAAAATGACATACAGATAAGTGAGCCATATAAGACTTTCATGATAGAAACAACTACAGAACATTGGAGTAGATGATCTCTACCTCAACCTAATAAAAGTCATCTATGAAAAACCAACAGCCAGTATCATACTAAATTGTCAAAAACTGAAATCCTCCGCAGTAAAATCAGGAACAAGACAAGGATGTTCATAATCATCAGGCTTGTTCACTATAGTTTTGGAAATATTAGCCACAGCAATTAGACAAGAGAAATAAATAAAAGGAATAAACATAGGAAATGAAGAATTATAACTGTCATTATTTGCAGATGACTTCATACCCTCTATAGAAGACACCAAGAACTCCACCAAAAGTCTTCCAGACTTAATAACCAAATTTAGTAGAGTAGCTGGATACTATGTCAACACACAAAACCCAATAGCTTTCCTCTACACAGACAACACACTCACTGAAAAAGGAACTGGAGAAACAATTCCTTTTAAAATAGCATTAAAAATACATAGGAATTAACATAATAAAAGAAATCAAAGATACCTACTCTGAAAACAATAGCACTCTGAAAATAGAGAGCAAAGAGGATATCAGAAAATGGAAAGGTATCCCTTGCTTCTGGGTAGGGAGAACCAACATAGTGAAAATGTACATACTTCCAAAACTGCTATATAGATTCAGTGCAATCTCAATGGAAATTCCAGCAGCATACTTCACAGTCCTTGAGAAAACAACCCCAAAATTCATTTGATATAAGGAGAGACCTACAATAGCAACAGCAATTCTAGGCAATAAAGATAAGGTAGGAGGTATCACAATCCCCAATTTAAAACTATGCTACAAAGATTCTCTGATAAAAACAGCATGGTACAACAAAGAACCAGCCTGGAAGACCAGTGAAATGGATTAGAAGGTGCAGAAGCAACTCCAGACACATTCAGCCACCTCATCTTCCACAAAGAAGCCAAACAACTTCACTGGAGAAAAGTTAGCCTACTTAATAAATGTTGCTGGAAAAATTGGGTTTCAACTTGGCAAAGATAAAAACTAGATCTATATCTCTCACAATGCCCTAAGCTAAAATTAAAATGGATTAAAGATCTAAATACTAAAGTGGAAACACTAAACTGGCTAGAAGAGAGGTTAGGCAGAACTCTTAAATGAAGATATTGGTGTAGAAAAAGATTTCATGAACAAAACCTCAGTTGCATGGGAACTAGCACAAAGAATCAATAAGTTGTATCTCTTCTTGTTAAAAATCTCTGCACAAGCCGGGCGTGGTGGAACATGCCTCTAATCCCAGCATTCGGGAGACTGAGGCAGGAGGATGGCTGTGAGTTTGAGACCAGCCTGAGCCACATAGTGGTTCCAGATCAGTCTCAACTACATCGTGAGGCCCTGTCTCAAAAAACAAAAACAAAACAAAACAAAAATCTTCTGCACAGCAAGAGAACCCTCCAGCAGCCTTAAGAGACAACACACATTGTGGGAAAATATTTTTACCAGCTGTTCCTCAGACAAAGGTCTACTATCTAGAATATATAAAGTGGTTTTAAAAAAGACCTCCCAAATTTAAAGACCCAATAAAAAATGGGAATCTTTAATGAACAGACATGTCTCTGAAAAAGAAGCAAAAGCAGCAAATAAATATATAAAAAAATGTTCAACATCACTGGTCATGGTCATTTAAGAGACGTAAATGAAAACAATGCTGAGATTATACCTATCCCAGAAAGAATGGCTGCTATCATGAAATCAACCAATTACAAATGCTGGCAGGACTGTAGGGAAAAGGAACCCTTCTCCACTGTTGGTGGTCGTGTAGACTGGTGCAATCACTTTTAAAATAAATATGGAGATACCTCATAGAACTAGGATTGGAGGTTCTATTTGATCCAGCTATTCCCCTGCTGGATATTTTCCCAAAAGAATTAAAAGAATCATACCACAGTGATATATGTGCACCTATGTTCATAGTGACTATGTAATAACTAAAACTTGGAAACAGCCCAATTTCCCATCAAGTATAGACTGGATAAAGAAAATGTGGGTTTTTAAAAAATATAAAATTGTGTACAACTCAGACTTAAAAATTAGAAATTGGAGACATTTATTGCTAAATGGATGCACATTGGGCCAAATTGTTAAGTGAAATAAACAGGACAGACTTATAAATACTAAATAGTTTCTCTGGTGTGAGAAACTGAAAGTGTAAATAAAGATCAAAAGATATGATAGATAATGTGAAATAGGAAGAAAAGTGGCAAAGGGGAAGTGGGAAAGGTAGGGGAAAGGAAAGAAGGAAATGTAATTAATATGAGAAAATAAAAAAATGGAAACAAAGTCTTTGTGAATAGGGAGGGTTGGTGGGGTTGAATGGAGGGCAGGGTAATTGGGAAAAATGAGAACCAAGCTATATTATACAAAGGTACAAATTTCTAATGATCAGTGTCATTATATTGTATACCTAAAATGTACCAATAAAATTATTAAAATATTGAAGAGATGGGGACAATCCCCGAAACATAGAGGCATTTGATGTTTGAGAAAAGGACCACAAGCCTTCACTGGTGGAAATATAACCTCTTTAGTAAATGATTCTGAAAAATTTGGATATCCATTCGCAGAAGATTGATTCTAGACCCATATATCTCCTCATATACTAAACTAAAATGTAAATGGATCAATAGTCTGAATGTTAAAAGAGAAACAATATATTGGAAGACAAAATAGGTACAATTCTTAAAGCCCTAGACACAGAGAAGTACTTTCTGAACAGCAAATAATACTAAGAATCAAAAAATGGGATTACTTCAAATTGAAAAGCCTTTGCATAGTAAAAAAAAAAAGCCATCAGAGTGAAGAGACAATGCATAGAATAGGAAAACAATGCCATCTTTTCCTTGGACAGAGAACTAGCATCAAGAATACAAAAATAATAAAAAAATTAAAACACCCGAAATAAAAGACTGAAACTTTAAAGGGGGGTGTGGAATAGATGCAGGATTTGGACAACAAGTGCACATTGATGGAAGAAGAATAACATAAGATCATCAAGGAAGGCTTCTTTAGAGGGAATATTTGAGTTGAAATACTAAGGAAAGGCAGAGTAGGCTTAGTGAATAAAAAATCTGAGGGGAGATAGAGTATTCTCATCACAAGAAAAAGTATATGGAAATGCTTGGAAAAAATTATCTTGGTATGTATGAAAAACAAAATGGACGTTAGTTTTACCAGATCATAAAAGAAAAGGAAAATGCAATGCAAGGTGATTGTGGAAAATAGGTAGGCTCTAGATGATGTTGGCACTGAAAGCCAGTATAAGGAATTTGACTTTTACTCTCATTGCAGTGGAAGTTATTAAAATGTTTTAAACAGTATAAGGATAGGGAAATGAATTGGAAATTTTCACAGTACTATAGGAAAAAATTATAACGATGATGTTGATTGGGTCATTAATGTGATAATGATGAAAATGTAGAAAAGCAGACTGATTTTGTGGTACACTTTTGTCATAGACACATATTTTTTTGTCATAGGCACATCTTATTTAACGATTACATATGAGAAGATAGCAAAATACAAAACATTATAAAATGACCGAGAAGTTTGGAAGAGAAAATATTTTGTACTAGGTTAAAAGCTAGTTGAAAAATGTTAGATTGCAATGCCCAGTAGATCTTACAGTGGGACTTTTCAGTAAGCAGTTAGATATAAGAATGTGAAACTTCTGTGCAAGGGATAGCTTCCTACCTTCCAAGCTCAAGGACCTGAGTTTGATCCCTTGGTACCCCCCCCCCGAAAAAATAGAAGAATGTGAAACTTCATAGGAATATCAGAACCATAGATTAATTCTGTATTTATCAACATGTAAATGGTGTTTAAAATTATTGGATTGTATGAACTCACCAAATGTAGGTTGCACAGTGAGAAGGTTGTGGAAAAAAATCTTAGGTCATCACAACAATTAAGGATGAGGCAGTGTAAAATACAATACATATGACTAAAAACTACCACTGAGTAGAGATAAAAATAGTCAACACATCATAGATTTGAAGTAATGCATGTGTTTCTAGGTGAGAAGTTAGTATAAAATCTGTTATAGACTGAGATAAGAAGGGAAGACAGCCAGTGGATATAGCTAAAAGAGTGCATTTGGTGATCTTCAAAAGATAAATATCAGTGAAGTAGCATGGGTGAAAAAATCTAACAACTATGAATAAATACAGGAAGTTTATTAAGGAGACTTGGCATGAGATAATGGAAGTGGGTTGCTTTTTTCAACAAAAATTAAACCTTGGAGAAATTCTTTTATTATTTCACTTATCTTTCATTAAAAACTCCTTGCGGAAAGTAATCTAGCCATTCAAGGGCCTCTGTGTATTTCTTTTAAACGTCACCTACAATGTATTTTCACTTCTTGCAAGTTGTCTTTCCCACTTCTTACCCATCCATTGACTCAGTCCTAGCTCTTTATACAGTATTTGGGATTTCCCACATAAGAGAAACCATGCAATACTTAAGCTGTGTGTTGGTCTCATAAGTTTTTAACATTTTTTTCAAATATTTTGAGTCACTTTGAAGTACACTTTATCTTTCTTTCTTTCTTTTTTTTTTTATTGAGTTTATTGGTACATTTAGGGATACAGTACAGTTACATTCACTTTATCTTTCTTAATTCTAAGTCTCAAACTTCTCAATATTACAAGAGAACTTTTCAGAGAATGGATACATTTGAAGTTTAAAAAATATATCATTTTACAATCAGATTTGGCCTATAAAACAAGCAGAAGTATACATACCAAAGGAGCATATCTTGGTTTTGGAGGTGGAGTTGGCATACTGCACTTACACAGACGCTTGATCCTAGGTAATGGTAGAAAAGGTTCACAAGGGGGGAGTGGTGGCCTTTCTCTTGATGGAGGAACTCTACCAGTACTTGTTTTTTGCCCTTTTTCACTGAAAGTTGTCTTGTTAGATGACATTCTAGATCCTCTCTTTATTTCAGATATTCCCTTCTTTGAATCTGCTGATGTGGCATCTGAATCATCCAACCTAATTTTTCCCTTTGCTTTATTTAGTGACTTATCAGATTCAGCATCAGTAGATTCTGTGTCCTTCTTTGCTTCCTTCTTTTCCTCTTTCTTTAAACCTTTCTTCTCCTTCTTTGACTCTTTCTTACCCTTCTTTGACCCCAAATCAGACTCGCTTTCAGTAGACTCTGCAGTCTTTTTTGCATCCTTTCTTTTGTCAGCTTTCTTACCCTTTTTTGAATCTCCTTCTGATGTGGACTCAGAACTAGAAGAAGCCGTATCTTTCTTGATGGATTTCTTTTTAGAATCTTTCTTTTCTTTTTTGTCATCTCTCTTACCCTTCTTGGACTCTAATTCAGATTCAGAATCAGTAGGAGTGGTGCCTTTTTTTCCATCTTTCTTCTTGCTGTCTTTCTTTGAAGGTTTCTGATCCTTCTTTGCACCTTTTTTTGTATCCTTTGAGTCTCCAGATTCAGCATCAGTAGATTCTGCCTCCTTTTTTGAACCTTTCTTTTTGTCATCTTTCTTTGAAGGTTTCTTATCCTTCTTTGCATCTTTCTTTGCATCCTTTGAATCTCCAGATTCGGCATCTGAGCTCTTCTTTGTGTCTTTCTTTGCAGGCTTCTTTGAATTGTTGTGTGAGTAATTGTTTAAACGTAAATCAAAATCCATGGATTCACCAACAGTCTCCTCCAAATACATCATTACACTGACATTTGAAGTATTTATTGAATAAGTCTCAGATTGGCTATCAGAATTTTTCTTAGAGGTATTAGAATCTTCACTGATATTGTTCTTTCTACATATGGATTCTGGATCCGACTCCTTGGAATTATCTGAATTTGTCTTACAATTTGGAACAGTTTTTGACACTAATTTCGAATCTTTGAATACTGGAATTGTTTCTAATTTGCACATTGTCTTCTTAATCTGTTCACTTTCATTTAATGATTTTGATGGATTTTTATCTCCTTTATTTCTTCTTTGAGGTTTATCATCTTTGATTATTTTTTTGGATTTTGGATTTGTCCCATGTAGATCTGTTTTTTTCTTAGAGTCTTTCTTCAAAGCTGCTTTTTTATCATTTGTGAACTTCTTAGTTTCTGCCTCTATAGGATGAATTTGGGAAGAATAAGGATGTCTAGATGGAGCTTGCATTTGGAAAGTTAGGCAAACGGATGGCCATTGAAATACAAATTTTACAGAATGCCTTATCCATATATGAGCTGGCTTCTGGACTTTCTCTATTTCTGTATTGACTTGCTTCTGTAAAGATTAGATATAGTAATGATAAGTAATGATAAGTAATTGTGAATGAGTAATGTTATCTCTATTTAAAATAGGTTACTTTTCATAAGCACCTATTCCATTTAAAATTGGATAATCAGTTTTTCTTTGTCAAAGTTTTATTTGTGTGTATATGTGTAAGATCTACAGTGGAAATGACTTTAGTGGAAACTTTATAGTACCCTTGATTCATATTAGGATTTGAGCAGACTCACAATGATCTATTATATTCTAGGGCTTGTACATACAGTCAACTGTTGGCTTATTTTGGCTTTGAAACTCTACTTGGAAAACTTTGCACATCTTTCACCTCAAAATTAGCCAGAAAGATATGATCCCTTTAAAGTTTCTAATGACAATTCATGTGATAGTTTCAGTCTTCAGGCCTAACCTATTTTATGTTGCTCTAAGGTTGTTTGACCAGACTGAGAGAACTTAATACAACACTCTAAAGTAGAGCAAAAAACAAGGACACAAAAAGAAAACAAATGAATATTTGATCTAAGTTAATTTGTGTAACAGTAGTGTAATTTATTGGCAAATGTTTGTCAAATCCAGTTGTAATCAGGACCACAAAGAATGATTTTATATTTCCTTCTTCTAGTCTTTCAACTCTGACTAGAGACTCTAAAAATGAGATGTTTATATGGAATTGAAGAAGAAACATGAAGAGAAGTGTATAACCTGAACAATACAGAAATGATGCATGTCCCTTGCATTGAATGCAACATTGTTTGGAAGATGTTTTCAAAATTTTTGAAATCAAAATGGAGAGCCCATATATGCTATTTTTCTTTATGCTAATTAATATTATTACTCTATTTTATAAATGCGGTACAAATGGAATCTATTATTGTAGAGTATCCTCAACTTCGTATTAAAGCAAATGGTTTGGCCCTGAAAACAAGATTAACTCCTGCTCTAAGATTCAAATTTTAAATCTTTCTCCAACTGGTAAACATTGCCCATTAGTACTACTAGTTGCAACATTAGTCTCTCTAGTTTGGTTATATAATGCTATATAATGAATTTGAAGGGGCATATAAGATGCAAATAAATTTGAGTCTGAAATAAGTGGAAACAATCTAAATTGTATAGTAAAATCAAAATTATATGAACCTTCTTTATATTTATGTATAATGTACCAATTTAAACAGTTTACATCTAAATTTTCAATACTTACAGGAACTGTGATTTCTAATTCTCCAAGTCCTGATCTCTCTTTTCTATCTGGCATGGGTGGTTCCGGAAATGTCAAAGAGTTCTTGATTGCATAATTTTCTGCTAGTTTCACGGACTAAAATGAGATAAGATAGTAAGCAACTTAAAATTAACAACTAGACTTTCATTAGCCTTTAAATATTCTTAAATGAGAAATATATCATTTAAATTCAACTGTTGTAATTCAAAATATAGCTTCTTTGATGTTTGTAGTTAATTTGTAGAGCAATTAGTGAAAATAAAATCCTATTTAACATGGAATGTTTAAAATAGTATTTGTTATTTTATTTTCTATATCAAGTCAATATTTATGGAATTATTAAACCACAATTTAAAATATTATAATCAAACATAAAGAATGAAAAATAGAGAAATATTCACTGTCCTATTAAATTACTCCTTTATCTTCTGTGTCTTTGATCCTTTTTATTATATTGTTTTGGTTAGATTGATGGTAATATGATCATTTATTCTGTAGTCCCAATAATAACCAGAACAATGTTGAGCATAACTAGCAAACATTTTGATAGGTTAAGTCTGAGTGCATATATTAGCTCCTTTTTAAATTCAGTTTCATCACTAGCCACAGAATTTAAGGCCACAGATCTAATTCAGTTCTTGAAATTCTATTTACAGAGAGACATACACATACTTGAGGACATATACATGGAATAATCAAGAAGACCAAACTATATCTATCAAATGTGTCAAAAGAGGACCTGAAGAAGAAACTCAATATAATGATTCTGGAGATGGGGAGATTAACAAGAAATGATGATTTCATTCAGTTGTTTAAAAAACTATTATATGAGGGAGTAGCGGTAATAATAACAGTATATGTGCAACTGCTAACACTCATGTAATAATTGCTACATGTCAGACTATATTCTAAGTACAATATAGATGTTGACTCATTTAATCCTTACAAAATTCTTTGAGTTGGATAGTACAATTACCTTCATTTTACAGATGCTAAAAAATGAGACACTAGCAGAGGTTAATTTGCTCCAAATCATAAAGCTAGTGAGTAACATAGTTAAGATTTACATACCCAATCCATATTCTAAATCACAGTGCTACAAACTTCTTTTCATAATTTCTGAGTGAAAATTAGAGGAAATGGGCAAAGTGGCATCATTGTGGGCATATTTCCACTCACTATAGTAAGGGTAACTTTCCTAAAGTTGCACCGATTCAACAAATATACTTTTTAGTAACTACTTTGATCTGTCTGCATTTTCCATTTTGCATTTTATAATGATTAAGTTTGAACAAGGAGATCTTTTATGAGGACAGTTGATTTATATCATGAGGAAGAAGAAACAATAAATCTATTTTAAATGTGATAATACAAAACCATATCACAGTTAGACATATTTTACACACATACATGAACACATAATGTTATATATATTGATATTCACATATTCACATTTACTAATTTTATCAGCAATTCAAAGTAGTTTTTAGTTTGTGAGATTTAACACATGATACTAATCATTGGTTATTACAGTTACTTTCAAATGTTAGAAACATTGAACTTCAAACACTAAAATTCTTACCTGAAATGGAGTTAACATACGTTGGGATGTTTACTTCTTGTCTGTTAAAAAGAAAATACTTTAATTGAATTTATACTATGGGTAAGAATAGCCACTGTAATTATGAATTATCATTCAATAGCAACACTAAAATTTTTTCTCAAATGGTTCTTAGACAAAAAATCACCATAAATCAATACAGTGAAATGCATGTATATTTAAGTCACTTCTAACTTCTCTTCCTGGAATAAAGCCTGATAAGTAATCATAATTAAGCACCTATTAACTTATTTATGAAAACCTTTTTAAAAATAATGAAATAAAATATTTAATGCACCAGTCTCAACTGAAAGTTAAAAAAACTATTTTTTTCACAATATAAAAATGTCTGAGAATTGCTCCCAGATCCATAGAGAAGAATGTCTTAGGTTAGAACAACTGCTCAGAATGCTCATGAAATTAGAAAATTCCTAAATTTTTGAGATAGCTCGTTAGTGCTTTTTCAAAGAAAATTAAAGACAATCAATGTATGACTACATTAAATCAATAGAGCTACAGCACTAGAAACTTAATAGTTCAGAAGTCTGCATTCCTGGCTGGAATACCAACTTCATAACATATAGATATTTTGTATCTGCCTTGCATTTGTGCTCCTTTCCACAGTCAAATATTATCTTCCTACAGTTGAAAGTTATATTTTCTAAACTATTCTGCATAACCTTTAACTGGTAAACAATTTAGAGGCTATCAACTCAATATATTGCATGCATAATTCATAGTGCATCATAAATCATACATTGAGATAAAACATTTTCTAGAGATGAAGTGCCATATATAAGCTAAAGTAAAGGACAAATATACTGTTGTCTTTAAATTAGTATTTTGCCCATTTACTTTTTTTGCCTATTCATTTATTTTTAATGTGTTTACTTTATATTTATATTTAAGTCTAACTTCTCAATTTTTGTGTACTGTTTGTTCAGCCCTTTTTTCCTTTACATACAGATTCAAATAAATGTAAGCATATTAAAATAAATGGGCTAAATGGTCATTGTAGTCTCAGCACTCAAGAAGCTGAGGCAGGAGGATCACTGTGAACTCAAGGATAACCTGGGCTACACAGTGAATTCAAGGCCAGTGTTAACTACTGCAAACACACACTAATGCATAATAAGTTATGGAAGTGTAAGACAAAAGTAAACAATAAATGTGTTAATCTAACAGGAAAAACAATTCTGAACTTCTATATATCAGTTGACATATATTCAAATATTTAAACCAAAAAATTACAAAACTAAATTTGTGAGATGCAAACTCAGCTAAATAGATGGAGATTTTTATCTTATTGTTTAGTGGACTAAGAGGCAAAATAATACATCAGTAGAAATATAAAAAAATGTGTATGGAAAAACATAGCATAAAGACATTGAAGCAAACAACTGCATTGTGCATATCCTTTTCATGTTCACATAGAACACTTGATCATAGAAGAAAGGTGACTACATATTGGACCATGAATCAAGTCTCAATATGTATCAAATTATTGAAATAGTATGGCATAATTTTGATAAACAGTTTAATGAATCAACAAGTCAAGAACAAAAATATAAATTCCTCACATATTTTAATATTAAGTATATAATCTAGGTATTCATTTAAGTATGTTTTATGGTGTATCTTATTGTCTGTTTGGAAAAAGTTCCATTTGTTACTGAGAAAAAAAATTGTTTTTTCTTTTTGGATGAACCAGCATGTACATATAGTATCTGTCGAGCCCATTTTTTCAACTGTGTGGTTTAATTCAAATATTTCTTTGTTTATTGTTTTTGTCTTGTTGACCTGTCTATTTGTGAGTGTTAATGCAGTCCCCAAATGTGATTGCATTGGCATCTACCTTTTTGTTTATGTTCGGTACTTTTTGTTTTATAAAGTTCATTGTATCAACATTTTTGCATATATATTTATGGTGATAAATATATTATGAGTGATAAAATACACTACCACATAATAAAAGGCCAGGATCTAAAAATTTTACCACAGAGTTCTATAAAAACTTCAGCATAGATATAGAGGCACTATTTATCACGACCTTCTATGAATTTGAAATGGAAGGAGAGCTTCAATCTCATCGTAAGAAGCCAACATTAACTTCACAACAGAACAAGATCATGACTTAAGAAAAAAAGAAAACCACATGACAAAACTGCATGAACATAGATGCCAATATCATCAACAATACATTGAAAAAAATGAATGCCAAATGTCCATACATTATCTCCAAGTTGTATTCATTGCACAAATGCAGGGATGGTTCAACATGTGCAAATCAAGAAATATAAAATATCACATAAACAGAAACAAGCACAGTAGCCAGCCATGGTGGTGCACACCTGTAATCCCAGCATTCAGGAGGCTGACGCAGGAGGATTGCTATGAGTTTGAGACCAGCCTGGGCTACATATTGAGTTCCAGGTGAATCTCAAGTACATAGTGAGACCCTGTCTCAAAAAACAAACAAACAAAAAAGCAAACAAACAAGCACAGTAATCACATGATCATCTCTATAAATTCATAAAACACCTTTGACAAAATCCCACATTGATTTATGATCAAAAACCTGAAAAAAAAGACATAGAAGTACTTTATATTTATCTGATAAAAGGCACTTATGAAGAACTCATAGATGATATCCTACAAAATGGATAAAAACTAAAAGTATTTCCTCTAAAATCAGAAGCAAGAAATCCATATAAACTCTCACAAATCTTGTTGAATATAGTACTCAAAACATTATCCAGAGAAATAAGGAAAGAAAAAGAAATAAAATGGTATGAAGAAGAAAAGAAGTAGTCAAAAGTACCCTGATTTATAGATGACATAATCCCTTACATAAAGGGCCTAAAAATCTCCACCAAAAGACTCAATACTAATAAACAAATTCAGTATACAAATTAATGCATAAATATAAATTTAATAACTAAGCCAACAATGAACCAACTGAAATTAGGAAAACAACTCTATTCTTAAAGTTTCAAAAATATTATCTAGGACTTAGGCTAATCAAGATAGTAGACTACATTTAAAGCGGAAACTATAGTACTCTGCAAATAGAGATTCAAGATGACAATAGAAAAGGAAAAGATAACCCCCATTACTAGTTAGGCAAAATCAATGTTGTCAAAATGGACATATAACCTAAAATGATATTTAATTCTAATAAAATCCCAATCTAAATAAACATTCTTCACAGAACTAAAAAAGAATTCCTAAAATTTTCATGAAACCAAAAGAGACTCAGAATAGCCAAAACAACCCTGAGCAATGAGAGCAAAGCAGGAAGTATCTCAAACTCATATTTTAATATATAGTACAAAGATAAATTGGATTTAGTTATTAAATACAAAAGTCTTTAGGTGGATTTTTTGGGGTCTTCAAAAAACTTCTATATTTAGTAATCAAATTCAATCACATAACTGGATAAAAAGTCAACACTCAAAAATCAATAATATTCCTGTACTTAAATAACAAACTCATTGAGAGGAAATTGGGGAAACCACAAGTTTCACAATATCATTGAAAAAATGAGCTACCTAGGAATCAATTTAACAAAGGAAGAAGATATTTACACTGAAAATTACAATACTCTGAAAAGGGAGATCAAAGAGAATATAAGAAAATGGAAAGATTTCTCTTGCTCTTGAATAGAAAGACCCAACATAGTGAAAAAGTCCATACTCCAAAAACCGTCATACAGATTTAATGCAATACTAATCCAAGCACCAATAGCATACCTTGAATAATTAGAGAAAACAACTGTAATATTCATTTGGAACTAGAAGAGACTTGGAATAGAAAAAATATTCTAGACAACGAAGGCAAGGCAGGGGGCATCATAATCTCTGACTTGAAATTATTCTATAAAGCTAATGTGATAAAAACAGCATGGTACTGGCAAAAAACAAAACAAAACAAAACAAAAAGCATGCCCAAGAATCAATGTAACAGATTAGAATATTCCAATAAACTCCAAGCAGACTCAGCCAACTTATGTTCAACAAAGTAGCCAAAAACTTCCACTAGAAAGATAGCCTCTTTAATAATAAATGGTGCTAGAAAAAGTGGTTTTCCAAATGCTAAAGACTAAAACAAGAGCCACATCTCTCTCCACACACTAAACTAAAATCAAAATGGATCAAAGTTCTAAATATTAAAACAGAAACACTAAACCAGCTGGATGAGATAAAAGGTAGAACACCTGAAGATATAGTTGTAGGCAAAGACTTTATGAACAAAACCCTGATTATATATGACCTATAACAAAGAATGAACAACTGGAATCCCTTAAATTTAAAAACATATTGCATAGAAAAATAATCACTAATAAAGTGAGGAGACAACCAACACAATGGGAAAAATATTGCCAGGTGTTTCTCAGACAAAGGACTGCTATGTAGAGTATATAAAGTGCTCAAAAATCCTACTGTTCCTCAGACAAAGTACTCTTATCTAGAATATATAAAGAACTCAAAACAACCAGCGCCCCCCCAAAGATAAAGACCCAAATCAAAAATGGGCATGGGAAATGAACAGACATTTCTCAGACAAAGAAGTAAAAGCAGCAAGTAAATATATGAAAAAAATGTTCCACATCACTGGTCATTGGAGAGATGCAGATGAAAACAGTACTGAGATTCCACCTCAGTCCACATAGAATGGCTGCTATCAAGAAATCAAACAATAACAAATGTTGACGGGGTTGTGGGGTAATGAACCATTCTCCATTGTTGGTGAGAGTGCAGACTGGTGCAGCCACTATGGAAATCAATATGGAGATACCTCAAAGAGCTGGGACTAGAGGTTCCATTTGACCCAGCCATCCCTTTGCTGGGTATCTCTCCAAAAGAATTAAAAGAATCATATCACAGTGATATATGCACACATGTTTATAGTGGCACAGTTTGTAATAGCTAAAACTTGTAAACAGCCCATTTGCCCTTCAGTTGGAGACTGGATAAAGAAGATGTGTTTTTTTTTTTAATAAAACTGAATACTATTCACCCAT